CACACACACACACACACACACACACACACACACACACACACACACACACACCAAGTGTACAGAAAGTATCAAGTAATCCAGATTCAAAACGAACCCTATAGAGAAACAAACCACTGACATTTGCATTAATCTAGCGTGATGCCAACAAATACCGAGCGAACAGTCCAAAGAAAAGGGGACGAAAGAGAAACATGGGAACCTGAGTGACACCAGAAGAAAACTATTCATACATGAGAGCTAGGCTAACGTGTTATCACCTACCGGAAGAAGTTTCTTCGTTCAAAAAATCATTTGTTACGATGATGGGATCCGGAAATGACCACGAACATAAAAAGAATTATATCACAAGGAGCATGCAGCATCCGTGTTGGATGAACGAGGATGGACTTATTTTGAGAGCGACGATAACAGGAAATGAACCAGTCATCTTCTTCTTGTTCTTCTTAGTCTTCATCTCCCAAAAGTGAAAATAGATTACAATGAAAAAAAAGAGTTTTCTGGTGATGCTTCAATACCTTTCCGTTGATAAAAATCGTCGTTTTATTTTAAATATAGAAACATCGCTTTGGAATTTAATCTGAAAAAGAAACTTTCTTTCTTTGAAGAATTAAACGTTCTGCAATCATTTTTATTTCGGTACTGCTCATGATCCTTCAGAGAAAGGATAGTAGAGAAGGCAACTTATTTCTACTCCGTAAAGGCTTTGTTTTGAGTGGCTTTCTGTATTTCCCTGTAGAAAATTAACTCTTTGTCCTTAGATTGGCCATTGAGCCGTAAGTTCCTTTTCATATCGAGTTACGGTAATTGAATTAACTTCTATAGATTTTTGAAAGAATGAGACAAATAACGGTTCTGGGACACTTGAATACGAGGTGTAGCTTTTTTTAAATTACATCTGAGCACCTGAACATATGAATGAATGGAGAACCATAATTGCCGATGTCTTACTAAGATCTGACACTTTGAAGTGACAATGAGATTTTCTGAACGTGTTTTAACAAAGTGTTTGTGTGTAATAGCCTACATTATTACATAAAAACGGAGGACATAAATTTCCAATATTCCTTTCAAAAAGATACTTTTATCGCTTTATATTTGACACACCTTGAAGGGAATGTTGTGGTATACCTAGCATCTGCATTTGTCGCGGCCGCGATTTTTAACATTTTTAGGTCCGCGAATCGTGGCCGCGATTTTTGCACTCCCCCCCCCCCCCCTCCCCCCAATAAAAGTTAACTAAAAGAAAAAAAGAAACCAAACCTCTGTACTTTTAGAAATGTCTGAAATAGAGTTTATTTTCACTTTAGCTTCACTCCGTTTCTTTCTCACTTGTTGACACCGCATTGATTTGTTATTTCCTCCCATGTGAAGAGTATAAATAAGTACATTACATACTATTTGTATTGCTGTTCCTCTTTTATTTTGTCCTCTTTGTTGTGTTTTAATTTGTTTAATGTGTTAATTTTTTTTATTGTTATTGTTCTGATGTGTTGTTTTCCTTTTTTGGGGGGTGGGGGTATATAGCGTAATGTAATTTAAATTGATGTTGTTCCTACCTATATATATATATATATATATATATATATATATATATATCTATCTATCTATCTATCTATCTATCTATCTATCTATCTATCTATCTATTTGTGGTGGCCGAATTTTGTTATTCAAAAGGCTTTTTACCGGCTGCATCAATCGACATACGGTTTTCGCCAACAGATTCTTTAAAATATTCTCCAGATCATGACGCCCTTTGGTTTTTTTCAGTCTTGAGACAGTTTGCTTCAAAAAGCTAAATTTCTTTATTTCGCCGATCGTTTTTGTAGACCGACGCCTCTGTGTCTGTAATTTTTTAAAATCCGGGTCGGTTGTTTTTTTGGGGGGGTTTTTTTGCTGTATTGTTGTTTTGTTGTTTCATTGATTGTTGTCGTTGTTGTTTGTTTGTTGTTGTTTTTTTGGCCCGGGGGGCCTTATCAAGGGAGCGGGGGGGCGGAGAGGATCCTGAGAACTATGTTACTTATATCTGTCTTGCTATCTTTGTACTGACCTGTACGGAGCTGACATGGCTCTTTATGAACCAAGGCCTATATCTGCGATAAATGAACTTCAAAAACACCTGTAACAAAACGATCAAGTACTTGTATTGTAGCTTGATGTCATCGACAAACGGTTACGTCACTGCTACATTGATACCTACGAAATCGCCTGCATAGTACCTGGGAGGTAATTAAACTTTTTAAGGTGCGAGTCGTCAATTGAAGACTACAACGGATGAGAGACAGTAGTCATAGAAAAATAATGTGAACTGGTGCCTCCATTTCAAGAGGTCTTAAGGACTCTCCATTGTATTCTTCGTGTCCGGTTGTTTTGAATGTGTCACCAGTGTATGACTATGACTCTTTTTGATAAAATGTGTTTCGATTGACAAAATTGAACGAGCAAAATAATATTTGATTAAGAGCTACAAAAAAGGAAAATGCGACTACTGCCTTTTTCGTCCCTGTAGTCTTCAATAGTAGAGTAATATTGTTCTTACCTCCAACACCATTACGGAGAGAATTGATAGACTGATAAAATGCAGAGCTTTACTGGTCTTGTATATTTTCCTGTACTCCGAGTTGTACTGGATGAACTTTGTGTCGTTACTTCCGTGGTGGTCAGGCAAGAACTCGGCCACCAGGAAGAAGCTGTCGATAACGTTGTTGATCTCCAGTACAAAGACATCACCCAGGGACGTCAAGTGATTTGTGCCGGGGCTGGAGGACGAGCCATTTGGTGGTTTGGATTGGGAAAATGGCGGAGGTGCTTTTTGGGACAGGGGTAAGGGGGCGTTTTCGATCTGCGGTGATGGGGGGTTTTGGGATTGAGGTACTGGGGCGTCTTGGAACTGATGTACAGCAGCATTTTGAGGGAGAGGTAAAGGGGCTCTTTGAGATAAAGAGGCGTTAGAAACAGATTTATTCCCTGACGTGTTACGATCGACACTCTCTGGAATGTCGCTTTCCTGGATATTGAGAAATTGTTCTCCGGCTTGCTGTTGTCTTGATAATGACCCTTCGGGGTCACGACCATTTTTCATGTTTGAGTTTTGGATATCGTCCTCCCGTTTAGTGAAAACCTGAGAGTCTGGTGTTAGAGTGCCCGTCGCCCTTTTTGAGATGGGGGCCGGAGAGGCTGGAGGATCTGTGACGCTGGTGCGTGTAGGGACGTCTGACGGAGAAGATCCTTCATTGTGATTCTGTAAACTGTCTTCAGAGTCTGATTCAGGAGTTATTGCCCCAAGAACGGTATCCTTTGTCGTTTGCTGGACCCAACCCTTTACTGGGTCAGCGGTGGACTTGTGTGCGGAAAAACCCGATTGTAACGACGGTGAGGAGATTGTTACTGCCTCTGCTTCCGTTGTCGTCATTGCATCGTGATTGGGTAGATGCGTTGAAATGACGTTGCTGATTGGATGGCCAGCAGGTGTGGGCTGGTCATTTTCGATAGCCACACCCATTAAGCGCCTCCCGAGAGCGAGTCTCTGAAGCCCTACTTCTCGTAAAGCTCTGTGGATCTTCTGTGAGAAAGAAAACACAAACTGGCTTTTCCCAGAAGACTGTTCTGAAGTATTTGACAACACTGGATGATTTCCTTTCCAGTTCAAACGTAGCAAAGGGTCTCCTGGAGGTGGTGTATTAAGCGAGAAACTGGCAACTCGCGAATGCAACAACATCTGTTTCGACCCAGATGTGTTGACAGTTTCCATTTTGGGTGCGTCATGATTTCCGCTGGATCGCCGGAAACGACTCTCACTTCCCGCTTGCCCAAAGTCATGTGCTCCTGTTGTGACATCACCGGCTTGTGCAGTAGTGAGTTTTGATGATAATGCCGATGATGGCGGCGACGACATTGAAGAAGAAGAAGAAGAAGAAGAAGAAGAAGAAGAAGAAGAAGAAGAAGAAGAAGAAGAAGTAATATCAATCTGCGTATGAGTAAGCTCAACGTTCGGAGTTGTAAAAATCATCTCCTGACGTGTTTTATCGTACTTGTCAGGCTGAGCTTTTTGACGCGGTACCCGTGATAAATCCCCACCATCTACTACTCCCAAGGGCTGCACTTTACCGTGGGATTTCATCTGTTTTGACCCGGCTGGCGACATTGAATTTCTCAGGGCAGCGGCGGGGCCTGAAGTCTCGTTCGCGCATGGGCAGAAGCACGGAGCTTTAGGCGGGGTCAATAGGTCTTGGCGCGTGCGCAGAACGATGGCTTGATCCAACAAGTTGATGACGTCGGTCATAGTCCTCGCCCTGTCATCGGAGAAAGCCCCGGGGTATTTCGTCCGTAAGTGTAATACGAATCGCTTTATCTCCAGCTCCTCGTTCTCAAAGCGAACTGAAAAGACAGGAGAGATGGCATGATAGTGAGAGTTTCATGCACATGTGAACACAATACTGATATTAACTAACGAGCACAATAATGACGTTTACTATCGTTGATCCAGTACTTTTACAAGCTCGGACTCTGAGGCGTAATATTTATTAGGCACTTCGCAGTTGTATAATATAGAATACCTGAGTCCTGTGCAAGTAAGCGGAGAATTTGTATCGAGTATTATGGTCTTTCAGATTAGACGTTGCTTTCCCTTCAGTCCGGGCTTGCACGCCTCCAGAACAATCTAAATTATGTCGATGGGACGTAAACTACCTACATCAAACAAAGTATTTTCTTTAAGCTCATTCCTTTAAGCCTTAAGACTTATAATAGAGGCTGCAGATCTTTCCAAGAATGGGATTATTAATCTCTTTACACCTACACTCTAGAAAGTCCAGAGTGGGATTTGAACTGCGGATACCCGCTGTGCAGTCCAGAATGATTCCGAAAGATTAATTTACAAAGCACATAGAAAAGATAGATGAGACTGTACTCATAATAATAAAGACTTTTTCGCATATCTATAAGGTAAAAAGTCCATACTCTGATCCTTATTTGGTATCGTTTCTGGCACATGTTTGGTCACAACACCTCCTGCTTCCCCCACCCCACTCTCGCTCCCTCTGTCCTTTCCCACATGGAGTCTTTCTTTTCCAAAATGACATGGTTATCAAAGAAGCAAGGCCTTAAATATAACGTCAATACCGGATAGGGCCATGGGCGAACGACAACAAAATACGCCCTAAACAACGCACGTTTATGACCACTCCCATAGGAATTGGAACAGGGGATAATCCACATTGTAGTCCATTATGTTAGCGCCTGAGCTAACGGTGAGCTCCGCCCTACTTCAGAGTATACCTAATTCATTGATCAAGAAGCGGAAGCCTGAGGGATGAACCCTTCAGTTAAGCGAAGAACCAGGAAGTGTTCGTTAGAAATCTTGCCCAAGGCCACTTTGGGGAAATTATTTTTGTTTCCCTGCGAGCTCTGAGTTAAATTGTTTAATTTGAGTGACGTATCCCGGATAGCTTCACTTGGGTGTTTTTGTTAAAGTTGGTGTACTGTAAGTTTGGGGGGGGGGTAGATTATTTGAATTATGTGCTATTTATAGTAGTGCCCCCCCCCCCCTTTTCCTCCATAAGGCTTTAATGATAACTCTTTAGGCCGACCTGCTCCCTCCAAATTACAATTTCAGATCCCCGGGGATAGAGCGTTGCAGCCTGTGAGGTGCATATCGCTAACCTCGCACATTCCATGTCCACACCCAAAATGTCTTCTAATCTCCCCAACCCCCTGCCTCCTTCAGAAACCTAACCTTCTAAATCTGATAGAACCTTCGCTTCTGTAAATGTTTTCAGCGCAAGAGACAGATTACTATGTGCGCAGAAAGGGTTTCTGTGTAGATTAAATAGATAAAAATCATGGTGTTCTATACGATTGGGTCACAATGATGCAAGAACAGATGTAATAAAAATGATCAGTTCCCTGTAAGCTAAAAAAGCAAATACAGGTGGAGCCCATCCCACATCCCACATCCCACATCCGAACTCCCACATCCCACATCCCACATCCCATATCCCACATCTCACATCCTACATCCCACATCCCACATCCCACATCCCATATCCCACATCCCATATCCCACATCCCACATCCCACATCCCACATCCCACATCCCACATCCCATATCCCACATCCCACATCCGAACTCCCACATCCCACATCCCACATCCCATATCCCACATCTCACATCCTACATCCCACATCCCACATCCCATATCTCGCATTCTACATCCCACATCCCACATCTCACATCCTACATTCCACATCCCACATCCCACATCCCACAGCGTAAAGTTAAGCATGTGACAGGACACTGGTTTGTTGTCAGGTTTCGGACGCAATTTGTTTTTAATAGAAAGATATCTTATAGGGAAATGAATTGTCAGAAAAGGTTATTTCAATGGCCAAAAGTGATCATTTCTCACCGTCTATCTGTTCGTCTGTCAGTCTGGCCAATCTATCTATCTATCTATCTATCTATTCTATCTATCTATCTATCCATCCATCGACA